GGGGGGGGGGAATGGCGAAATACATTTTAGGGCTAAAAGCGAAAATAATACAAAAGAGACGTCTTTCTCATAAACACGGATCCCTATGGATTCTACAGCCATTTGTGCTTTCTGTATAATCTCAATTCCCTCTCTGTACCCTAAAGTTGCCTCCTTTCTTTTTCTTTTGCATTTAGAGAGAGACAGAGAGAGAGAGAGAGAGAGAGAGCTTTTGCAGAAGCTGGAGTTTTTTTTTTTTTAAATGTCTCAGCTCGAGTTTCGTTAAGATGGGGTTTGATGAATTAATGGTGTGTTTTTAATACTTTCATGGGTCGACATTGGGTCTCCCAATTATCGCAGTTTTTTAAGCAACAGAGCTTTCCCTAGCGATGATAACAATTACAGGACGGCGTCCACCTTATTGGGCTTTTCTCTCTCTTCCAACAACATCTTGAGAATGGAAGAAAATGACGGAGGCGTCGTTCATTATCACAACAACAGCCAAACACTGTCTTACGTTTCCGCTTCCTCTCCCTCCGCGTCTGCATCTCTTGTTCCTCCGCTTGGTGATTCTGGCAATAACAGCAGCTGCTATGGAAACTGCCATGGGAACGGGGAAATCTATTCTCACTTGCCTCCGATGCCACTCAGGTCTGATGGCTCTCTTTGCTTAATGGAAGCTTTCAACGGGTCTCATCAGCCAAACCAAGGTTAAAAAAAAACCTTTCCAATATTTTGATTATTTCATGGGCAATGGCTAGTTTTGTTCAAGAATGTTCATTTCCTTTACTTCAGCGCAAAAAATGCAGGAGCTTTCTGGTGGAGTATTAGGGACCCATCACCATAACTCCGACAAAGAAGCCATGGCTCTTAGCTTAGACAGTATGCTTTACACCACCCATGAATCCAACAACCCTCAAGATTCTCTGAAAATTTTCCTGGGAAATCCCACCTCCCGAGAAAATCAGCAATACTACCCGTATAACACCAACTTCCCAGAAACCAGAAACCACGAAGAAACCCATGGTTCTTCTTCTTCTCAGTCCGCTCATCTGCACCCTCAAGCTGAGATGAAGAGATTGGTCTCGGGAAATTACGAGGATGACCCGGGGATTACACGAGCAGGGTCTGTGGGGATAGGGGCATATGGGGAATTGCAGCAGGCGTTGAGCTTGTCCATGAGCCCTGGTTCACAGTCAAGTTTTGTCACTGGTTCACACCAACAGTTGTCGTCTACTTTTTTGGAGAGCGTTGGTCTTGGGAATATGAAGAGAGGACAAGAAGCCGTCGTTGACCAGAGACATATTGTTCACAGGAAATCCATTGATACATTCGGACAAAGAACCTCTCAGTACAGAGGCGTTACAAGGTTCATATATATCTTTGTCGTCTTCTCTTTTTTTTTTGTTTTTCCCTTCCACTTTTGGATCATTTTTATTAGTGAACTAATTAATTACCCTTAATGTCTAATCTTTTTTCATGATAAGATTTCACGTCGGCATGAATTTACAAGTTGATTCTCAAGTCAATATATATAGCTCTGTTTTGTTTGTCTAAAACCAGACATAGGTGGACGGGTAGATTCGAAGCTCATCTTTGGGACAATAGTTACAAGAAAGAAGGTCAGAGCAGAAAAGGGAGACAAGGTTTGTGCTGTATATATACACACACATATATATATAATTGATTAATTTGTCCATATATTATTATATTATTTATGCATGAATGATTGTATCATGGTCAAATGGTGGGCATTTACTGAGACTGTGTTTTTTTTTTGTATGATCGATTGCCAAATCATGAATGATTTGATCTTCGCAGTTTATCTGGGTAAGTACTCTTGGATTCATGGTTTCCCCATCTTCTCGGAACATATAATGATGGAATTTTTTATTGCTTTTTTTTTTTAAAAAAAATATTAATCCGAGTAAATTCCAAAACGTTGAATTTTAGGAGGTTATGATATGGAGGAGAAAGCTGCTCGAGCATATGACCTTGCTGCAATCAAGTACTGGGGTCCCTCTACTCACACCAATTTCCCCGTAATCATTCTTAATCATCTCTTGGATTCCCTCTCCTAAATCAATCTTAACCGTAAACCCTAAAAAAAATCTAATTATTCTAAATCTTATCTCTTGATCACCTTCCACAGGTTGATAATTATCTGAAGGAGATCGAAGAAACGAAGAACATGACCAGGCAGGAGTATGTTGCCCATTTGAGAAGGTACGTACATATATGTGTAAATATATATATATTTTGTAAACATTAAATAACCTAAGATATATTATAACATAAAAGGGCCATTTCCGGTGCAGGAAAAGCAGCGGATTCTCTAGGGGTGCTTCGATTTATAGAGGGGTCACAAGGTTCGTGGATCATACTTACATTCATATATTATATAGTTTAAGGCTTTATATTATTCAAATGTACGCTGAAATATTAAGCCGTCTATTATGAAGGCATCATCAACATGGAAGATGGCAAGCTCGGATCGGCAGAGTAGCCGGTAACAAAGATCTCTATCTCGGAACGTTCGGTTCGTTTCTCGGAACAATCTTTTCGATAAAGACAAAATTCTTCGATCCTTTCGACGTTAATGATTTGATTTTGATCGCGTTTTACAAATGCTTAGGAACTCAAGAAGAAGCAGCAGAAGCGTATGACGTAGCCGCCATCAAGTTCCGAGGGAGAAACGCTGTTACAAACTTCGAAATAACGAGGTATGATGTCGAAAGGATCATGTCAAGCAACACTCTTTTGTCCGGAGACCTCGCAAGAAAGGACATCGCTAACAAAGAGCACGGCAGCAACGTTGCCGCGGATGCTTCGAGAGAAGGAAGCTCGGATCGGGTTTTGAGTTTTCCGACGATTTTCGCTGTGCCTCAGATGAGTCCGATGAGGATGTTCGGTCCAAATGTCGCCGGGCATAAGAGCCCTTGGACGAAACCTAATGCCGAACTCAAGAGTGTTGCTCTCGCTTTACCTCGGGTGTCGGTTTTCGCCTCGTGGTCGGATTCTTGAATTTTAGTTTTGCGGTTATCGGTAAAGGGGCTGGTTATCCCCGTCCCAACCGGTTCGGTTTATGTAACTATGTTTCCGGGAACAAAAAACGGTTCATGCATGAGAAGAAAAAAAATGTTGATACCGAGAAATTCGGTATAAACACTTTTCTTTAGGAACGGTTTATTGTGTTTTTTTTTTTAACATATGAATGAAATCAGTCTCCATTCCTTTACCTTGACCCGTGCACAATGTGGACATGCATGGTTTTTGGACCCATATACACCTAATAATTAGGTATATTTTTATTGTTTTTTTTATAAAAAACAAAATGAATGCATATATATATATATATGCCTATCCAATAATTCCAATGCTTTTTTTGACCAGATCGTCCACAACACCATCATTGCTAAATTCCCGCTTTTCCCAAAAGATCATGAAAACACAGATATTCCCCTTTTCATCGTGATATTTTAACTTTTTTTTTTTTTGAAAAAAAAGTAATCCCTTAGCCTCGTGGGTTTGGAATTTTACACTTAGATGTAAAACCATACACGTTTGTCAAGCGGTGAAAGTTTGGACCTTTTTCGAGTAGATTTGTTAAGAGAATCACACTAATTTGAAGCCATAATAATAATAATAATAATAATAACAATAACTACGCCTTTTACGAACCACTTGCGAGAAAATGATTATGCCGGAAGCAAAAGAAAATCCACCGTGCGTGGGGGCTGACTAGTCAAACAGACTGAACAAACATCATAGCTCTCACGTGTCTCTCACGTGCCGAATGTGTCGGTGATGTTAGTCCGACCACAATGGGCCGAGATTTGGGCCTATTAACTAGTTAGACATCGAAAATATCTATCATCAGAACACAATGACTCGATGCTCATCCGTAAGTTAAGGCAAATACAATTTTGTTATCACCGTATAACATTAAAAACATACAAAGTTGATATTCTGTTTTGTAAAAAAAAAAAATGGAGTTTCTGTTTTTTTAATCAATATATATATATATATATATATATATATATACATAGTTGACCTGTACAGACCCTGTAATTAATAGAAATGTGTTATTTATTAATTGATTTTTAGAAATAATTTCCAGACAATTTTTGTCTATGAATTACGAGTGAATGATTTAGATATGAGCGATACTCCCTTGTTTCAAAAGACTTTCAAACGCAAGTCCGTATGTGCATATTAGATTTTGACGGGACCTATTACAGATATATATACGAATTTGTAATAGGAACAAATTATACATCATTTTTTATTTTAACGATATAAAAATATCTTTTGTTTGAATGTTATATATTTTAAGTGATTTTTAAAAACATTCTACCATTCTATATTGTTTCTAATTCTAACTTTTATTTGGAAACATAATTTTTTTTGTTGAAGGAAAATATAAAATTTATTAAATCTATTTTTCAATCCTTTTTATTTGATTCAAATTCACTTTTTTAAAATTTCTAAAATTTTGAATTATTTTTTTAAATACTTTTAACGTATTTTATTCTTATCTATTTTTAGTTTAAGGTTAATAATTAAAAAAATAGATTTTGTTTTATATTATCACCATCAATTTTTAATTCAAATAATATGAATACCAATATCGTTACATTGCATTTACACTGCAAGAAGATTTAATAATTTATGTTTTAACAAATTTATCACTCTCTCTCTCTCTCTCTCTATATATATATATATATATATATATATATATATAACGTTAATGAATACTATGGGAATATATGCTAAACGAGGAAAATAAAAGTTGTTTTGTATGTATTAAAATCCGAGTCCAGGTCCTAAATTGTCATCTGTTGAAAAGTTAGAGTTTTCTTTTCTTATTTTTCCATAAGTTTAATATTTTCTTCTTCTCTTGTTAACATGACAATGAGTTATATATATATATATATACACATATACATATATACACACCAAAGGCATGTTGGAATTTGAGATATATATATTTTCCGACTATATTGTGGTTGTCAAAATGGCCGAAATTTATCTCTCTCTCTCTCTCTCTCTCTATATATATATATATATATATATATATATATATAACGTTAATGAATACTATGGGAATATATGCTAAACGAGGAAAATAAAAGTTGTTTTGTATGTATTAAAATCCGAGTCCAGGTCCTAAATTGTCATCTGTTGAAAAGTTAGAGTTTTCTTTTCTTATTTTTCCATAAGTTTAATATTTTCTTCTTCTCTTGTTAACATGACAATGAGTTATATATATATATATATACACATATACATATATACACACCAAAGGCATGTTGGAATTTGAGATATATATATTTTCCGACTATATTGTGGTTGTCAAAATGGCCGAATGATTCTTTTCTTTTACAAAGTCAAGATTTCGACCTCATCGTGTCCTTTTTATGCTACGATGTCAATATAAATTATAGATACTAAAAATTATATTTTATTTTATATTATGGTTGAATCACACCACATTAATTAAAAAGAAACAATATCTTTGGCCTCTTCTGTTTTTATCCTTCCTTTTTATTTCTTGGCTCAATTTTCCCTCTCAGAAGTCAATGTTTATGTGTACCTCCCATTTTTTCGTTGTTAACGTGGCTAATTATATTTTTCTTTCTAAACATCACATTTAGAAATTTATAAGTTTAAACCAACAGTAGGATGAGATGTGATAAAATCATCATGAGATATTGAGTCCTACCGATGGAGAGGAATATAATTTTTGGAATAAAATAATCTATATACAAAGACTGGTTCCGAACCTATGATGGATATAGTCGGATAGAATATCTAGGGAACCATCCTATTATAAAAAAAAAGTTTAACTCGACTAAAAGTTCTTGAACCGTAAATAGATTTTTTTTTATAATTCAGAAATTCATTGGACATTCGACCCAATTATATACCTTTCAAATGACTGAAAAAATTTAGGTGAATACCCTTCACCAAATGGATATTCGAATTTGGGTAGGATAGGAAATATAAATAGGTCAGTTACCATTAATAATTGTACAAGATCAATAAACTTTGTGGTTTATTGTTTTTGTTTTTATCTATTGGTAAGGAAATTTACGATAAAATAACTCTATATAAATATAAAAATCAACGATAATATACTGGGGTAAAATAAATTTATGTAAAGTACAAAAAACACATAAATGATATATATATATATATATATATATATATATATATCACGTTGCAATCTCTATTTCCAAATAGATTATAATGGCCAAAGAAAATATGATTACCGTTAAATTTAATGCGGATCAGAAAATTAGAAAAAAATTATTTTAGAGATAACAAAAAAATATTAACGTTATTATGTGAAAATTAAATATTTTAATATTATTTAGTAAGAGAATAAAATCTATGAGATTTTTCGTTAGTCTATTACTTTTCAATATAATAATCACAACATATTAATTTAAATGTATTTGTATTTAATATGTTAGAGGGCTCTTTATATCTTTATATAATATATCTAATTAATTAAAAAATCTAGTAAAATAATATTTTCTGTCTGACCCTTTTTAACAGAAATATTACGATGAATATATCGTTACGGTCACCGGTGACGGGACAACACATTATAAAAACAATATGTGATAATAATACTTTTTATTTAATAAAAAATAAAATAACCAAATTAATAATTGCTTCCTATGATTGGAAGATTGCCTAAATCATTGCTTAGATTATTGGGCGGTCGGGGCCGACTCCTAATTAGTCTTTTTACTCTTGAAGAAAGTTTAAATAAAAAGTCATTTTAATATTAGGTTTTAAAAATACTTAATAATAATCAAAATGAAAAATAACACTTTCACAATAATCAAAAGAAAAATAAATGTTAAATCAATAATCCATATCTAAATGTGCCGTCGTGGAAACGAGTTCGCCACACCTTTCCATTTAGGAGACCGGTTTGGACTGGCCGCCGTGGACCAACACTTGTTAATGCGATTTTTTTTTTAAAAAAATATATTATTTATGTGCCATTTAAAGTATTTAAACACTTCAAAAAAAACGTCATCTTTTATTTTTTTTTACATGGACGATTATTATCTATTTGAAATGCTTTTTCCAATCGCCAAAATTAAAATTTAAAATAAATAGAGAAACGACAAAACAAATAATGAAAAAAAAACTACGACAATATAAACAAAGCCTTTTTTTATATCGTGGAGAAGTCCAAGTGCTGTCATCTAGGTGTTAGATGAATAAACTTTTATGCACAAGTATGCGACACACACGTTAAAGGTAAATCAGTCATAACTAACGGACGACAAGTGAACGGATAAAGAATCGAACTTTGAATATCTCGATATGTTGATCATTCTTTTTTTCAAATCAATCGGGTATTTTTCCTTAAAACAATGTTCTGATACAAAACAACATATATAGCATTAATTGTTGTAAAAGTTCAAACAATAACATATAAAAAAGTTATAATCAAATCATTTTTTAAATATTGTGTTCGATTTTGAAAATAAACAATATCGAACCGATTCTCGGTTTTATATATATAATAAAAAAAAGGTTACATGAAGCATGCGCGTACATCAAAAATTCCATTTTTGCTCTTGGGTTGCCATAGTTTCATTTGTGGACTAGTAGCGACAATAGAGATTTCGGATTACACTGCTATATCGAATGAGCATATAGGGTCACACACGGAGGGAAGGACAAAACGTACGAGAAAACGACCGAAAAACCGAGACGGAGGGGGCCAGACCCGATGGTCCACAGAAGGCAGACCATCCGTTCTGGATTGTCTGGAACGAACGGTCCACGTAGGCAGACCGTCCGTTCTGGCTTGGTGGAACGGACGGTCCACGTGCATTTCTGGACCGTCTGTTCCGGCTTTCGGATTGTTGCGAAGAGTTACGGGCAATCGAATCAAGTTAATAATATAACAAAAAATAAAAGATACATATATATATATATATGGATAATATTAATTAGAGAAATGAGATTTTAAAATGCTAGGATGGGTGACCTAACTTTGTGGATGAGGGCATAAAAATACGTAGCCGACAAAAGCATTATCGGGAAGTGCCCTAAAACACAAAAGAAGACAAACCAAATGAAACGTTCCACATCAACTTTCTTAGTTATGTCTCAATAATTTTTTTTTCTCTTGTTGGCGAATCATATTCCGCCGCAATTACCTTTCCCACTTCCTATTTACCTCTGTAATTATACAGACCATATTTTTTTTTATCGAATTTAAATCCTATTTATTTTTTACAAATAAATGATCAAGTATAAGGGTAATGATATTGGCGATTTTATGCAGAATTTTGCATAATATTTTCGTAATCTAATTTCTTTTTATACTCTCTCGCGTTTTTATTTCTCCATTTTTTTTTTCTTTTCTGATCTTTTTTTTAAAATCTTGGTACGAAATGAGATATCGATGACAAAACAGATAAAGATATACCAAAATTTACAACAATATATTGTTAATCTAATTTAAAATATAAATATCTATATATGTATATCGCAATATCTCTTTTTCAGTTGTGAGTGAGAAAGTGATGTGACGAGCATCCGTCTCTTTTGCTCCACAAGGAGATAAAAAAGGGAGAGACATGAGTACGTTCACTTGTTCGTCCCGAAACTATCGTTGCGTCTTTTCACATTACTACTCTTGTGGTGTTTATATAAAGTTAAAAATATCTTTGGCAAACCAAAAAGGATAAAAGTCGTAAATCTTTCTCGTCTTTTTAATATATATATATATATATATATATATATATAAGTACTAGGGTTCGATAAGATTATAATTGGTGACATATTTTAGGTTTTGTCCATTGCATTCATAAAATACAAAATTTAGATATACACGAAAGACGTCTTAAACGCCCACAAAACATGATCTAGTCGTATGGTTTGGTACTATAATGGAGAATCTTTTTGTAAGGCTCAAATCCATGATTTTACCATTATGTGGAGAGTTTGAGGAATCAAATATTGGAAAGGATAAATTTCTTATTGTCCGTTGGAATATCAAACTTCGGACCTCTCGTTGGTGGATATAGGCACGTGACACTGCCGCATGATAAAAATTTCCACCCACGTATATCTATGTGGTGTGATGATTGATATCATTGCATCAAACCATATACAATATTACAACATATATGTAAAATATGTATCCGAATCCCCAGATATATTAGCTTCGGGGTGAAACAACACGAAAAATATATAAATAAAAAAAACTAAACTTAAAGAAATTGTGGGAATCACACACAAATCGGACCAATATGTTTTGTGCAGAGAAAAAACAAGTGTGTGCTCAAATGGTCAACCTTTGTAAGTGAGGAAATAAAGGAGAAAATCGTGCTATATATCATCCGTTTCCTAAGTTAAAAAAAAAAACAAGAAAAATAAACTCATTCCTTTGAGTCATAATTATTCGCCACCCACCCATCAAAATTGAAAAAATAAATAAATAAAATAACTCGAAATTCTCCTAATTATAATAAGAAGAAGGCTCTCTTGGTTTCATCTCCTCCCATATTTTCTTCTAAACTTCTCACCACTCCATCACACAAGAGGACAAGAGAGAAAAGCTTCTCTCTTTTCTCGGGTTTCGCTTCCGAAAAATCCCAGAGCTTGAAACGAAGAAACACAGAGGCGTCTCAAATGGGTTTTGACGATTCTTGCAGCACAGGGCTTTCTCTTGGATTAGGCCTCACGCCGACGACGTCCAATAGTTACAATCATGCCGTCAAGAGATCATCCTCCAACGTCGTCAATCATCCCAGCCTCGAGCCATCGTTGACTCTGAGCCTCTCCGGCGACAGCTACATGAAGAACACGGCGGATGCGCCGGCGGTTACGGTCGCCGGCGGAGGGAATCATCAGCTGTACAGGCAAGCCTCCTCTCAAAGTGGAGTTTCCTCTTTCTCGAGCGGCAGAGTGAAGAGAGCGAGAGATATCGGCGGCGGCGGAGACGGAGAAGAGGCGGAGAGGGTTTCTTCAAGAACTAGCGGTCAAGAAGATGAAGAAGGTGTTAGTGCCCGAAAGAAACTTAGGCTTACCAATGAACAATCTGCTCTCCTTGAAGAAAGCTTCAAGCAGCATAGCACCCTTAATCCCGTAATTATCCTTAATCTAATCTAACTTTGTTATTCTGTTTACGATCTCTTGATTAATCTACTCCTAATCGTATTTATTCTCTCCTTACACAGAAGCAAAAACTAGCACTTGCGAGGCAGTTGAATCTGAGGCCTAGACAAGTTGAGGTGTGGTTCCAAAATAGGAGAGCCAGGTAAATAATTTTATTTAATCAGTATCCAATTGCAATTATGTACAAGCATTAACCCGGATATTATTCACAATTTTAAACGTAACATGTATCCGTCTTTTAACGTTGAAACGCATGCAAGACTCTTAAAATAAATACCCACGTTTAACATTTATAAAGTTTTGCAGATACGTGCCCAAAAAAAAGTTACTGTGGATATACATTATATACCCTTTTACTAAAAAAAAAGTACTTGTAGATATTAATTGCATATATTTTTAATTTTGGTTTATTGCGGAATTCGGACAGGACAAAGCTGAAGCAAACAGAAGTGGATTGCGAGTTCTTGAAGAAGTGCTACGAGACGTTAACTGACGAGAACAGAAGACTCCAGAGGGAACTTCGAGAGCTCAAAGCTCGAAAATTGGCTCAGCCCTTCTACATGCGCATGCCGCCGGCGACTCTTACGATGTGCCCCTCCTGCGAGAGACTCGGCGCCTACGGCGCCGGAGACGGAGGCGGTTCCTCCGGCGGCATATCCGCGGCGTCGGTCGTCGAATAGTTACTTTTTGCTTAATTATTTATTAATTTGTTTTTGATGTTTTAGCTAGGGATTTATTATATTTTAAAAGAAATTTCCCAAAAGAGATATTTATTGAAAATTTGAAGGGGAGAAAGAGAAAACTGGTATAGCCACCTTTTTTTTTTGGTGGAATTATATCATAAAGATATAATAATTACTAATTACTGATCCATCTTCTTTTTTCTTTTTGTAAATACGGTGATGCAATTCTGGTTTTAAATAAAACAAAAAAAGAACAAACTTTTGTTGTTTCGTTTCTGTTTATTTCTTATGTCGAGCTATACAGCACCTTTAGCATATAATATAGTTGATACTATGAAATATATGGTCTTATAGTTAATCACTCTAATCTTATGATCTTTTGTACAATATATCCTTATGATGATTATAACCTTATAATATCATTCTATACATCTCCCAGGACTTTATATAATTGCAGTGGTGAATAAACACAACATGGTTATTATATATACATGTATATATATGGGTTATAAAAATCTGAATTGATAAATATAAAGATAATTAAATTTGACCGGGAATCTAAAATTTCGATGGATTATCAGAAGGCTTTAGAGTCATTTGATGTCAGAGAGAGAAAGGGTGTGGGCCTCGGAGGTTGGCTCACGTGCCTTGACGCATCTCCTTAAAAACTCGACCCTTTGTTTATTCAAACAAAAAATAACTCGAAACAAATCCTAATTTTAAAACATGTTTATAGAGATATACCTTTTACTATAGATTTATCAATATCTTTCAAAATTTTCTCTGTTTATTTAATTAGTGTTTTCCGCCTATATTTTAATTTTATCAAATTCATATTTCATTGTGATCTCTTATTTATTTTCATCAAATTTTCTTTCCAAACTGTTTCTATTTTTTAGCTGCAAACGCTGTATTCCGTTTCCAAGGAACTCTCTCTCTGTCTCTCTCTCTCTCTCTCTCTCTCTCTCTCTCTCTCTCTCTCTCTCTCTCTCACATCAATAGTTATTTGTGAACGATTGATAAATTTGCTTTACGTGTGCATGGACGTAACTAACGTAATTGTCAGCTTGTCGAGTTCTTATTCCAACGTTTACATTAAGAAACCATTATAATTTTGGTAAGATCCCGACATGCCTAAGAAAAGAATTATTAATTTCGGTATCGATCACGTTTGAACGGTAAATATATAACAATGTAATATTTACAGGTTACTTAATCGATACGTACGTATACACATTGTTTGATTTGCTTTATAAATATCTAACCCATCAATTGCGGAGTTCTTGTTGGCTCTTCTGCAATTCAATGTAGATTTTGTGTTATATTATCTATCGTCATTGGATTCAGTTTTCCATTATCATTTTTTCAGATGAAAAATTATAGTTTAATATTTAATATTTATCCATGAAATAAATTGAAGACATTCTCTTTATATTGTAGGTATAAGGAGACAAACAAAGAGAGAACGAAAACAAACACAATGGAGTAATTTTTTTTTTTAAATCTAGAAGCATAATCAAACAAGTACGGAGTTAATGTACAAAGACTAACAAGAAAAATCTGACTCTCCATATTTCCCAATAATATATATACATATATATATATATATAGAGAGAGAGAGAGAGAGAGAGAGTTATGAGAAAATGCGAGATGGGAAAGGAGGTGGCTTTCACACAGTTATAATATAGTTTGCGTCCGTCGTTATGTATATTTTTTTTTTGGCCCACCAAATTTAAGCAAATGGGGAAACCCCCAACCAAACAACAGTAGTGCGTCATTATGGAACTTTCGAGTTTTATTAAAATAAAATAAAAAAAAAAGGAGAGAAAAGTATTCAAAGATAAAGGATGATGAGTAATCACTTATCAATTCGTGGAAAAATAAATTATCGGACTGTTGAATTGGATCGATGAAATTTCAATTATAATCCAATTATCCTAATCGAATGGACCCCAAGAACCTTATCCTATGTGGTTTTCTTCCCTTTTGACCAAATCAAACCCTCCCTGGGCAGCCGCTCCGACTTACCTCTCAGTCAACGTGGTATAAATGATTCGGTTTTTAAAAAATATTATTAAAACAGTAATAACATTAAAAAAAATATAGAATATATGTATATATACACACACACACAACGAATATTATTCTTATTATTTTAATTAATTTTATATAAATCAGTGTTAAAAAATACAACTAGTGTCAGATCATCATCACCATGCAAGCATTCTATCTGGCCGGCCATCTTAACATCAAAGCAACCATGAAAACTGTACCCTGATGTGCACATACATACATACATGCAATTTGCATATCAGAAAATAAAGGCCCAATGGGCCGTACAGCCCTATGTACAATAGGTAATGTGGGCTAGGTCTCCTAAGAAGAATTAGGGCCCAGAAGACCAACCACGATGAGTTCTACTATGGCACGCTGCAAGCAAATGATACCCTTTCACCCATTGAGAAAAGGTTGTATTCCACAAGACCCCGAGTAAAGTAAGGCAGAACCAAATCTCGAAAGTCCTACTCTTATTAACCCAGGACAGAACAATAACAACAATGCAGGAAGCAAAATGAATTCGAAAGCTTTTACGCTTTCAAACCGAACCAATGCATTTTCTCGGTAACAATGGTCGAAGAGACATTACTACGAAGACAACAAAGGCTTCAGTGCTAGTGGTGCTTCACCTCAAACAAGCCGTCTGGACCTGAAATCGGATATAACTCGTGGATTCAGAACCCTAAAATGATTGCTAAACAATGTTACCGCAAATCTTTGGTATACGGGACAGACTCTTATCCTCATGTCCAAGCAACACCATCACGGCCACAAAGCACAAACGATATCAAAGGCAATGGACTGGAACTCGAAATATCACAATTCCTATTAACAGTGAAGAGGCGACAAACTTGAAAAGGGAGAAAACATACCCCAAGGAAACTCCTTGTTGCGGATATGCAAGTACGGATAAGCCTGCTCAAGTAACAAAGGAAACAAACAAACAAAAAAATACAATGAGCCACTCTGAAACACCACAATATAAATAGAGAAGGCTGTTTTAGCAAAGAATTGAAGAATGCATAAGGCTCATTGCCATTACCACTCTCGATTTAAGGGAAGGGCCTTGCCGCAAGGCTCATCATGATGACACAACTAAATGATTACAGTGTGAAATGAAAAATGCGAGAGAAGCTTACAGGAGGTTCATCGTAGTGGGGATGACCCTTGGATAAGTTATAGAGAGCTAGAGCAGCGCAAGCAGCAATACCCAAGTACGTTATCTTCTCCCACTTCGCAGCCTCATCTGTGAAATAAATAACCCATGTGAAGCACCAAGAACATCTCGATCCTTTCAACAAAAGCAATTTAACCCGAGAGGAGGATTTAGATGATCCGATAAAAAACATATACTCTACGATCACCAAATCAATCAATAGAACAATTGAATCAGAGCATTTCCGAATCCGAGTTGCTTCCAACCGGAGATTGCGTATTGAATCATTGGAAAGCAGAGACTACGAACTAGAGATACATAAGGACCTATAATAAATCGTCACAGATGTTTCCCAGAAAGAAAGAAAAAAACCCTAATTCATATGAATTAACAACAAGAGGAGAAAAAGTTACAAGCATCGTCATGGTGGGCTTTGGAGGCGAAACTCCGCTTAGGAGCGGCCGAAGTCCTCGAAGATCCACGGATCGTTGCTCGTGAAAGAGCGGAACGTGCGAACGCCATAGCCATTTTCCTCGGATCTTCTCTCCCTCTCTCCCTGCGAGTTTGGTGATTTGGAAAACGCGAAAGGGTTAGGTTAGGTGTTTGGAGCAATGATCATCCAACCGGTTCTCGCGCGGCCTGGCTCGACCCGAATAAAACCCGAACCAGAGTCAAACCCATAATGGATTCTATTGGGCCTTCATTCGAACTGGGCCTGATCACCACATCGTCATCATCATCATCATCAAATAGACATTGTATTTCAATCTTTTATTTCAAAATGTACATGGTTAACATTTTTGGATCGATCGATCAAGTTATAATATAAGTTGAGTGGTTTATATACTAAACATCTAAAACGGACAAGAAATCGAGCAATATGAACGAATCTCGGCCGTTTGTTCTGGATCCAACGGTCAGAAATCACGCCTCTAGAGAGAGAAGATACATCAACGTCGTGATCTCGCCGCACTTCTTCTGATGGACTTCTTCATCCACACAACAGCTCGTCGACAAAAACTGCCGTGTTTCCGTACATAAATTTCGATCTACGACGCTATCGCTGCGGTTGCGGCTGGCATCGCAGTCGCGCGATTTGCGACCGATGGTGTACGCCACGTCTTCCCTATACCATCCCGCAGGCGATAACGCCTGAGACGAATCGTGACCGTTCAGCATATCTCGGACCTCATCTTCTCTCCAGCCTCCGTCTCTTAGCGTCCAGAACGCGTCGTCCAAACGCGCCCTTAAACACTGGTTGGGTGACGCGCTCCACCACCCTCGAGGGGTCTCACGCGCCGCCATCCTCTTCCTTCTCTCCGCCACGTCTGTCCAGAATTCCACCCTCCGCACCTCAGTCGCTGCCCAGCCAGGGAGGATTCGCGATCCGCTGGAATTCCGACGATCGTAGATCGACGAAGCGAATCCGAAACCCATTTGCAATAAATCATCGAATCTCTGGAAAAACCCGGCAACGTCGACACTCAAAACACTAACGCCATCACCATCTATCTGTAGCACCGGATTTCCCGCCAAATTCGGAGTGGTGGAAGGGACGTAGAAGTTTCCGTACACCGGGATGAGAACCGGCGCGTGCTCAGTCAGTTTCTTGACGATCGACACCGTACAATCCTCCTTCCACGGTGACCGTGCTCATCATCGTCTCGAGTCTTCCCGCCTTCTTGATTATCCCGACCAGTCCTGCTCCTGCCAGTCGGGCTGCTCGTTCGGCTACTACATCACACACTTCGATCACCACTTCTCTCGCCTCACGAGTTGAATCATCGATCTGCACTTATATATTTGTGAACACAAACGATTTATAATCGATGTTTAGTTATAAAAACACAAACTTTAACGACGGACAATCGGAAACGATGAATCTTACCCCGAAAACGTCCTTTAGCTTTTCGTTCACGGTGTCTCGATCCTCTGATGTATCCTGATGCATGGCGGCCATATCGGGCGACCTGTATCAGAATATATGATTGGTTACATCGGTTTAGTGTAATTCGATTCGGTTTAGTTTGATTAATTCTAATACATATTTATTTTTTTCACGCTCTTCGAGACGTGAAGAAGAGGGAGGTTTAGGAGAACTCGGAGATGCCGGGTCGACCCGGTTCGCCAATCGGGGAAATGGGTACCCACCGGAAGACCCGCCTGAAGGATCGAACGGAGATCGGGAGGGAAGGAGAAGTCGAGGGAAGATTCAACGGCGGATATCTCGCCGTCGGTGAGACCAGACGAAACGTCGACGTTTAGAGAACGCAAATGGCGGATCAAAGTTTTGGAGTAGGCGGCGAAGGAGAAGCAAACCGGCGGCGGAGGCTTAGTCTTCGGCGGCTTTATTACAGATATATTTTCCGGCGGTCGCTGTGTTTGGGCCATCGTCTTTGTAGTAATGTGAAGGACCTTTGGGATTTCGGGGGAGAAAACTTGCATATATGAACAATCAGTTTATATGATAAATGAATTTTGCAAATTTATATATAGAGGAAGAAACTAGAAAGATATGTTAATCAGGACTATTATGTCACATGGTCCTCGTTGACGATTTTACGCTACAGTGCGTATATATATATAAGAACATTATGCATGTCTATATTTATATTTGTTTTGGGAATTGGATAATTTAATCCTTATTTTCAGGATTGGTGAGTGGTGATTATTAAAAAAAAACATATTCCACAAAAATATTACACAACATGATTGTATTTAACTATCGCACGACCGGACGTACATAAAAAGAGAGAGAAGGGTGCTTTCCAATATTTAAATACAGATTAGGTAGGGTTAAGAGGGATGATTAACGTTGGTCACATCACTTTCGATTGTTTTGTCTTCCCTTTTTCGGTATAATTACGATACGATCTGTTTCGCTTTTGGCATTCAAAGTTGTCACTGGAGAGACACGATGTGTCACTTCAGTCGCATGGTTGTTTTTGTCTTATGTTTCATGAGCTTCTTTTTTTTTTGTAGCCAAGTTGGGGGTTGGGTTTGTATGAACCAAATAATTGAACCGCGTTGCTGTCGCTTTAAAAAAAAGGCGTATATATGATGGGAATCTGTTCTCAAATACAAAGACGGATAATGATAAATGATTTGGCGATCTCTTTTTGCCAATGGTCTAATTCATTTCAGACAGCGTATAGACTCCAAACTCACGTAATGGATATATATAAATAAAAATAAAAAATAATAATATACGGTTAGATAGATTTCGTTCCGGCACGTCAGATTTGCCAAGTTTATTTTCCCGTTTATTCCATAGATCGTTATTATGAAACTTGTTTAATTAAATAATCGTTCCAGTAATCGGAGATTAAAAAGAAGAAAGAAGAGAAAAGGTGTAAAGTGAAGGGCGAAAGCTGCCAAATTTCATCTCTCCTTTTTTGTTTTGGTAACGAAACGCAGCTTTTGATCGAGCGACTCCACGGAAACCCACCACGAGCCCGTCATCCAGTTGTCCCGAGACTTCCCTATCACTCTTTATTTTATATATACGTGAGTTGAGTGATGATAGTTTTTGTCTTTCCTTGATTTGAAATATCTCAAACTTCCCATGCTTCCCATTAAATGGGCCATGTAATCGTAGACAATTGGGCCTTTTGTTCACAGCCCATCAACATACTTGCGCAAGAAAAAATAATTCAAGATATGGAAAAAAAAATTAAAACGCAGAACTATTAACATTTTGGATTTCTCGATTACTGTTGGATTTTTAAGAAACTGTATTTAATTTTTATCAATTCTAGAATTTGGTGTTCATAAAAAATTTATTTTCTAATGAATTTCAATTTTTTTTCTAATACTCTTACATTCAATTCAAACTCAACATGATCAACAATTCAAACGCAACTGACAATCAGTATGCAGAACCACAATCATATCATTGAACAAGACTCCAAGAGTGGATAGGACAGAGAAAGGAACAGAACCAACAAGGCGGAAACAAGTAGTAGTTCCGACAATAAACCCACAAGACAAAAGCTTCAATAGAGAAACGGAACAGACTTGTCGTGACTTAGTAGTTAGTACTCCTCGCCCTCATCATCCTCGCCATCATCACCCTCAGCACCAACCTCCTCATAGTCCTTCTCGAGAGCAGCTAGATCCTCACGCGCCTCGGAGAACTCACCTTCCTCCATCCCCTCACCCACGTACCAATGCACGAACGCTCTCTTCGCATACATCAGATCGAACTTGTGGTCAATCCGTGAGAACACCTCGGCCACGCTCGTGGAGTTTGAGATCATACACACCGCCCTCTGCACCTTGGCGAGGTCACCCCCTGGGACCACTGTCGGCGGCTGGTAATTGATCCCGCACTTGAACCCAGTCGGACACCAGTCCACGAACTGGATGGTCCGCTTGGTTTTGATCGTGGCCACTGCTGCGTTCACATCTTTGGGAACGACGTCTCCTCTGTACATGAGGCAGCATGCCATGTATTTGCCGTGTCGGGGGTCGCATTTGGCCATCATGGACGAGGGTTCAAAGGCGCTGTTTGTGATCTCGGCGACGGAGAGCTGTTCATGGTAGGCTTTCTCCGCTGAGATGACCGGAGCGTATGATGAAAGCATGAAGTGGATTCTTGGATACGGGACGAGGTTGGTTTGGAACTCGGTCACATCCACGTTCAGTGCTCCGTCAAACCTCAGAGAGGCAGTGAGTGATGAGATCACCTGATACACATCACAACAACCACATGATTACAGCGGATTCAAGATACACAGTAACTGACTTGGGGTGGGCATAACACAACCAAATAGGTATGGTTTTCTTAAAACCGAAAAACCAAACACAATTCAAATTATGAAAACCAATAACCCAAAAGAGTTTTGGAAAATCAGCATTTGTATCTTTAAATACGAACCCAAACAGAAACCAAAATCAATCTAATATAAACACCAAAAATATATATTTTTATCAAAATTGGAAAAACCAAATCCAAATATAACAGAAATACCCACCCCCCTGCGATTGATTATTTGAAATGAACGGCTTCATATCTGTATCAAGTGATGTTTACCTGAGACACCAATCGGTTGAGGTTGGTGTAGGTAGGGCGCTCAATGTCAAGGGAGCGCCTGCAGATGTCATAGATGGCCTCATTGTCGAGAAGAATAGCCACATCAGTGTGCTCAAGGAGCGAGTGAGTAGAGAGGACACTGTTGTAGGGTTCAACAACAGAGGTTGAAACCTGAGGTGATGGGTACACAGTGAATCCAAGCTTGGACTTCTTGCCATAGTCCACAGAGAGACGTTCAAGCAGGAGAGAACCAAGACCTGAACCGGTACCACCACCAACAGCATTGAACACAAGGAACCCTTGGAGACCAGTGCAGTTATCGGCCAACTTGCGGATGCGGTCCAAGCAAAGATCAACAATCTCTTTGCCAACTGAAACAACCAGAACAATGACATTAATGCACAGTTAAACACAACGTGTATTGAAGCAGGTGACAAATGGAGATATTATTACTGGTGTAGTGGCCACGGGCAAAGTTGTTGGCAGCGTCTTCCTTTCCACTGATGAGCTGCTCAGGGTGGAAAAGCTGGCGGTAAGTTCCGGTTCTTACTTCGTCAATGACAGTGGGCTCCAGATCTACAAATACAGCACGAGGAACATGCTTTCCAGCACCAGTTTCGCTGAAGAAGGTGTTGAAAGCATCATCGCCTCCTCCGACAGTTTTGTCACTCGGCATCTGGCCATCAGGCTGCAAATTCCAATAAAGGAGCGAGATCAGTATATGAGTTTAATTTGCGAGCCTCCCCCCGGAACTGTGAAAAATTCAACCAGAAATTGTATAATCCGAGAAACCCAGCCCACATAGTCCACTATACATTTCTTACAGATCCGCCCAATAGGAGAATATTTCACCAGATCCGATCTAATCAAACAACGCAGAACAAGATTTGTTTGGAAACAAAGTATACATGATGATATAAACGACAGATACTAACCATCCAAAACAAACAATAGCTCGAATTGAAAACTGGCACCACTACCTTAAATATATCCTAATATCGAACGATATCCACTCGTGTACTTAATAAACGACAGGATAAGCCTCTAGATATCTCGACAAGCAAAGCCTCTAGATATCTCGACAAGCAACCGATTTAAGCCATTTAATTGTGGAATGGACTTTTGACACTAATGTACGCTACATAATCCAAGAAATGAAACAGATATGATCAGATCCGATAGATCTGCAACCAGATACAATATTACAGGACGACAACACCAGATCTGGCCTATCTACGAACCGAAAAACGAGAGAATGACGATGATAAGACGAAGAAAATTACCTGAATTCCATGCTCGAGACAGTAAAGCTCCCAGCAGGCATTTCCAACCTGGATACCAGCCTGACCGATGTGGATCGAAATGCACTCTCTCATTTTCGCGGCGAGAAAATTGGAGATAGGAGAAAGAAAAGAAGAGCGGCGTTTATCAAGACGCTACGCTTCTCTTTTCGTTGCTGAGATGCGAATGTGAAGGTCTGCTCCTTGGCTTGATTTTTATAGAAGACAAAGGGCGGAGACACAGCCTGTCTAACCGAGGTTAAGAACGAACCGAGGTTAAGGGACACTACTATTGCCGATGGAGCCAACTCAACCGCTCTAAATTTAACCATGGTTAGTTGCCTCCCGTTTTCTGAACTTTTGAAACCTGTCGAAGTAAAAACGACGTCGGATCGACATCTCTCATCCGCGGATATTTCGACAATTTTTTTTAAATAAAAAGTAAATATTTTGAATTTCAAATATCGCTTTCCCGAAAAGCAGCAGCTGACAAACATGGAAGAAAGCAACGTCCAAGCCGTTACCTTAATTTAATATTATATTGGTAAAATGTATCATTTTCAAAGTGGGCCTTCAGTGAACGGTATTGGGCTTCATACGAGCCCAGCCCAAATATTCTAGACGTAAGATCTTCTATTTTGAATCTGAATTTTTCGGGGTATAGGGCTTGAAATGCCCTTTCCAGAAGGGGATATTCGAATTTTGGATATTCCACGACATTTGTTTCGCTGAAAAGGTTCAGACACAAAAACAAAAAATCAAGATTCAGAATCTTGTCCGCCGCCGCCGCCACAAGCGGCGAAGAAAATAGCTCCGGCTCCGGATCCGCCGTGAGAATGCTCGACCACGACGTGATCCGACAACTCTCGACCGAGCATTTCCCAGACGCCGCTGTGAAGGTAGTTCCTGAACACTCTGTAATGGCCGTACAATCCTCCTTCCACGGTGACCGTGCTCATCATCGTCTCGAGTCTTCCCGCCTTCTTGATTATCCCGACCAGTCCTGCTCCTGCCAGTCGGGCTGCTCGTTCGGCTACTACATCACACACTTCGATCACCACTTCTCTCGCCTCACGAGTTGAATCATCGATCTGCACTTATATATTTGTGAACACAAACGATTTATAATCGATGTTTAGTTATAAAAACACAAACTTTAACGACGGACAATCGGAAACGATGAATCTTACCCCGAAAACGTCCTTTAGCTTTTCGTTCACGGTGTCTCGATCCTCTGATGTATCCTGATGCATGGCGGCCATATCGGGCGACCTGTATCAGAATATATGATTGGTTACATCGGTTTAGTGTAATTCGATTCGGTTTAGTTTGATTAATTCTAATACATATTTATTTTTTTCTCGAAAAACTCGATCCAATATATTCTCTTTGTCATGTTTCGTACCTTAAAACGTAAGGAACTCTGAGTTTAGAAGGTACTAATTCTCCGAAAAGAGCAGATTCCTCAGCCATTCTTAGAAGCACTCTTCTCACCACTTCCCCTAAATATCCTCCGGACACCATCTTCTCGAACCTCTGAAATCGAAAAACCGGAATCTCGGATCACAAAAAACGCGGAGAAAACGAATTGTTCGAAAAAGCGTCACATATATTGAGATTACTCACTCTGCGTCCCGGATTCAAGCTTTCAGCGTCGAGAGAGGCGTCGAATTCGGTAAGAGGAAGATGGGTTGAACTGAAATCCCCCCACTCTGTACTGATAACCTGCAGAAAATCTCCATGAATCGACAACTTGGGAAATCTTTCGAGGTGTTTATGGTTCGTGGGGTTGAGATATTTTTGCTTACGATCTCGCCAGACTCTGGTACCGAACAGTTCCATCTCGTGATCTCCCGAGCTTGCTGAACATAAGCGGCATTTGTTCCCATCCCTAATGTGATGGCGGCGACAGTGTCACTGCTGTAATATCTTCCTCCGGCCAAGTCTCCGACCACATTATCCGCCTTATTTTGGATTGAATCATCAAGAAAAACCATCATCTTTCGGATAATGAGACGAACCAAATAAATTTACAGAGTTTTCGAGATTTAGTATCTTACCAACGCGTGGATCTGCATTTTTAGACCTCGTTTCTTCAACGCTTCGTTCATTTCTTTCACGAACTCCTTCTCAACCTGGTCAAACGCTAAGCTCTTCCTCTGTATGACTGAGCATGAAGCTGAATCCTCTTGCTCAACTGAATGCGATAACGTAAACCCTAGTTTCTTTTCTTCTTCGTCTTCATCTTCATCATCGTCTGGGGGATTCATCCCGACAAATTTCACTAACTCCATGGAAATGAAGTCGCAGAGCTCCTGAACATGTGATCCAATCAAACTCCAGATCTTACACAACATATACCTTGAAAGAGAAGTGATCATATATATATACACACCTCGGAAGATGAACTGTGTAAAACATCATCTGGGATCGAGATCTCCTGTTTCTGGACATCGGAGATGGGTTCGTCCTTTCCTCGTAACCTCGCGCGTAACATCATGAAATCTTTGCCTCGTAGATTAATTCCATAGTACAGTCCCTTCTCCTCCCTACAATGGCGAATCAATGTCTGAAACAGAAGGAAACTGTGTACTCTTTTTGTCTGAAAACAGAAGGGAAACTGTGTGTATATATACCCTGAGGGCAAGGGAGCGGCGAAGGAGACGATCATGTCGAGGGAACTGGCAGGGGATTTGTCGCCGGAAAGAGATGCGTTCATGTCGGCGACCAATGCGTCGGCAACATCCCACAGCTTCGCCGCCGGCGTGGCGCATTCCCGCGCAAACTTCCGAAGGATCCTCTCCGACTGCTTCAGCCGCCTCTCCTTCCTCCGCAGCCACCACCTCACCGCAACCACCGTCGCAGCCACCGCCGTCACGGTGAACAATGCGGCCTGATTTCTGTTCATTTTTTTTTGTCGTTTCTTTTCAAGCCACACGATTCAAAGAAATCACGTAGCTTCCTCGGTTCTTGTTTGCATGGCTTTGTGCTAGTTGTTGAATCATTCAACGTTTTCGTCTAGATTTTTTTTTTTTTAAAATTTAAAAATTATGTTACGTACCAAGTTTTTTCCTATAGTTACGCGAAAAATTTGATTGGAGCAAGTCAAATTTCTTGTTTCCATTACACAAAAAGGGCTTGAAACAATTTGGGTTTTCTATAAATAATATGACGTATGATAAATACAATGAATATGATCTGAAATCTGACCCATCAACCATGAATCATATCATAGGTATAGTTTGGGGTTTCTCTAAATTGTAGAAACATTAATATGGTGTGACAACACTGTGAAGATGATCTGAAATCTGACCCACATCAAACGTTTAGTAGAAAATTCCATGAGGTAAAAAAGAGAATCTGAAAATTAGGGTTCCTACAAGAAAATCTGGAGGAAAAGGGCTAAATACTTCAATGGCTCAGCCTGCGCTTCTTAGCCATCTTTCTCATTCTTTCTCGCCTCTCTTCTTCCTCGATCAGCCTCAGTTGTTCCTCGTCTTCCTTCTGCGCTATCATCGCACTGCATCACCCAACAACACAAGTTTAGTGTTTGCTGTCCTGAAAAAACATGTTATTGTATGTACGTACCTTCGTTTCTCTTCCCTCATGATATCTTCCCAGTTTGCCTCCATGTCACTATCGTCATCATCCCCGTCTCGCCCGGCAAAACGATCAGTTCTGCAAACAAGAACATACCCCGTCAGGACAAGAATCCGGATAAGAGTGGGTTCGAACATAAGAGGAATACTTGCGGCAGTACCTGAACATCTTTCTGATCAAACCGAGTGCTTTATCGTCCTCCGACATTTTCAGCTTCTTCTTTGGCCGCCTATCCTCTACTATTTCACGTGCTGGTGCTCGTTTCGGCGGTTTGCTTATCTGCAAAATATCTCGGAGATAAGCCAACCCATAGTTCTTACATCACATCACACTATTGTCACCAAAGAAAAGAGTAGTAAGAAGCGCTGTACCTGGTTTTTTGCAGGAGGAATTGATTGTTTGTGGATTACTTGAGACCTTATTGGCTCATTGGAAACCTTTCTCTGTTCAATGCTTCGCCTATGATCAGATGGGAGCGGTCTTGAGGATGACGGTCTCTGAGCACTTTGAACACGGCTCGTTGTGCCGGAAATGGGGGTCTTAGAAGGCAACTGCTTTGCAGTCCCTGCAGGCCGGCCAAGCCCAACTCCATTGTTGTTGCCCAGCTGTCTTCTTTGATCCATCGGTACTGAGTCAGGTCTTCTTGCAGAAACCGGTCTCTGAGAACTTAACTTGGAACTCGGTTGACTACTCCGGCTGGCTGATTTATGTGTTTGGTCATTCGTAGCCAACCCTTCCCTCGAAGGAGATTGACCATTCGTGGAGAAACCTGAGGAACTTGGTCTTGAGCGCATCTTGCTGCCCGAGGGAGCCGGCCTTGCATGTATTTGGCTGCCCGAGGGAGCCGGCCTCGTATGTGTTTGGCCACTCGAGGAAGTTGGTCTTGTGTGCATTTGGCTGCCTGGGGCATCTGCTCTGGAATGCGGTCTCCTCTCCTCGCGAGCACTAGGAGCAGTTCTGCCATTGGTACCTGATGGGTATTTGGGCTTAGCTGATGATTGAGAAGACCGAGCCTCTTGAACATCAGCAAAAAACCTGTATAAGTTATCTCCATGAAAATGGTATGCTCAAAGATCACTTAAATAACAACAAATGAAATTCAGCCAAAAAAAACCCTACCAGAACTAGGAATAGGACGGTTTTGCGAGGGCGGATCCTTCCTAGAAACAGGAAGGTCCACATCATCGGAGAAAAGGAAAGAGTAATCTCTCGTATCCTTAAGTTTTTCCACTTTCTTTTTCACCTGCATATCGAAACAGCCTATTAGTAAGGTCAAAACTAGCACCGAAAATGAACCGAGATAACGTCTACTGCCTGAACTACCTCATTCACAACTTTAGGTCTCTTGTCATATGAACCATTCTTAGAAGCCGAGCTGCCCACTGCAACAGGTCTTTTGGTCTGCATAATACAAGCAATCTCATCATCATAAGAACAAGGGATCAAGACCATTTTCTCAACTATATTACAATTAAACGGGCAAGAGAGCTTAAGGTGCATACAGCTTGGCTTGGCTTTAAAAGTCTAGACGCCAGTTGCTCGTTTTCTAACAAGGATTTGCTCTCTTGTATCACTCTTGAAGAAATAAGGGGCCGCGAAGGGCCAAAGAAGGAACCAAAGCTGCGGAAAACAGAAAAGAATTAGATGCTTAACTCATGCTGAATATCTAAAGACGCTGCAATGGTACAAGATTAAGTAACAACGCCGACGAATTTCCATCCCTCAATCAACTAAGCACTCACTCGTTGTATGGAAGTCTACTTTTCTTCTCCTGCGACGACAGAGCATTCCCGCCTTCTCTCTTCATCTTCTTCCTGATCGATTCTTTCAATCGTTGACGCAATTCAAGGTACTCCAGTTCTTCCTTGGTAGGTTGTCTTTCCTCTGCCTCCTCGTACTCTGCCCCTTCTTCCTCCCGTCCTTCTCCATCATACTCTTCATATTCGTCATACTCTTCATATCCAACATTCTCATCAAGATCCTGCATTAAACGTAGATTTTAACAAAGTTTGAGATCTTGCAAAGCAAATCTGAATCCGAAAAATCACAAAGTTGCAAATTTAATGGGTGAATTAGTGGCTTACGTCTTCATATTCCCGCATCATCGCTGAAAACTAACTTGCTAAAAGAGTAGCGCCTGAAAACAATAACACAACTATGATTGCTTAGTTCAATAAAAAAAAAACACGATTGAAACTTTCGCAATAAAAAGGAAAAAGAAGCGGTGATCTCCAATCGGATCAAACTGAAAATTTAAGGGCTTTCAATATGAATCCGATGTCCCAAATTTCCATAAAACAGTTCGAATTCAACCCAAAAAAAATTAGCTGATTTAAACTTCACCCAGCAAAATCCCACAAAAAAATCAAAAAATGGACAGATCTGATACAAAAAATAAGCAACATACCTCAACAAGATCGGAAACCCAAAACTCGACGAAAATCGATCGGCGGAATACGACGATTTTGAGGAAGAACCAGACGACCGATCCCAGAGGAGACGATTGGCGAGAGGACAACGCGCTACGCAGATCCGCGAGAAGAAGACGAAAGCGGCGAAGAGATTAACGGATGAGAGGAAATGAACTCGTGGGCTTAGGCTTTTCGTCGGATAAATAAAGGGAGACAAAGGAAACATAAGTACCCAGAAACAAAGGGGGCGGATGCTAATATGCGCCAAATTGCGCATCGATCTCCCTCTTTCCATCTCTATCTTAACGAAATGGAAAATAAATCAAATGCATCTCTCGAGGATCCGTACCGACATTATCAATCCCCCACTCAAAATAAATAGAAACCAGTTTAAAGAAATTTAAAAGAACAAAGTAAAACGTCGTCGTTTTAAGACATCGGTTCGGCAGATGCGTCATTTTTCCTATATGCATGTTTATTATTTATTTCAACACAACATTATTTAATCCATAGCCATAGATGGTAGTCCTTATAGTACCGATCTATTATGATAATCATATTATTATTATTATTATAATGAAATGAATATGTAAATATTATATATATTGAGTTTTATTTGGTCACCACTTTTAGTACTATCTAGAATCGTCTAAACACGGACTAGACACTATAAACAGTTCGGTAGCCACCCGATTAGAACATTTTGAAAAATATTGGTTGGTTTTTGAATTTTGGTTTTTAGTTTTTGGTTAAAAAAATCGGAGTTTTTTAGTTTTAGTTGTTTTTTTTATCAAAATTACTTTTCAATTTTTTTTTAAATATTAATTTTACGAAAATTTAATGATCAATTTTTTTTTTTTGAATTTTTAAAACTCCAAAAACTCTTAATTTAGTTTTAATCGTTTTATGTTTTTTTTAGAAAAACAAACGAACAAATGGGCTAAATCTTTTTGGGATTGGGCCTTCAATCTACTGATGATTAAAAACTATTATTGGACCTAGGCCCAAACAATTGAATTACTAAGATAATCTGGTCCAATAAGAATCATAAACGGAGCAATCCAACGGTTGAGATTTGTCGTGAAATTAACCCATTCGTGCACGTGAGGATAAGAAAGGGCTTGAAGGCCGAAGCCTCTTTCCTGCAAAAGAGAGAAGGGAACAGCCGAAATAAGGAGAAAAAAAAACGAAAAAATAACCAAAAAAAAAAAAAATCGAAATCTGGTTTTCTCTTCTGTTCCTTCTCTGATCGCAGCATCACTGTTTTTCCGTTTCAGGTATGTGTGTATATGTATAGATATTGTATATGTATCGAAATCTTTCTTCTATGATTTTTTTTGCTTCACTTCTGGGATTTGCGCCTCTGCGGTTAAATCGATGTTTTTCGATTTCTCTTGATTGATGGTGGTTAATGAATGTTCTGTTAGATTCGCCGAAGATCTCTGATTTCTATGAATCTCTCGGTTGATCTGTTGATTCTGGGATCGTTTTCGCTTTAACTTGTCTGTGATTGGATTCTGGATATTACTTGGAGTAATGAAATTCTCCCAATATCCCAATTGGTGATTACTATGGGCTGTTGGTCGGTGTAGGACTATGCGGATTAGAAATTCTAAGCTTCTCCGTGACGAATGGATCGGGCCTAAGTGTTGCCTGCATTACCTTGCTGATCTAAGTTTGTAGTCTTGATGCCGGTCTGTCACCAAAGAGGGCTTTCTCTGGACATCTTGCTTATTCGCTTGTGTGGTGTCCTTTCTCTGGAACTGGTTACTGTAGTTTGTCACTTGATCTGCTGTAAATTAAAAGGGCACTCTCTAGCTGGTGAATTGTTAGTGAATTTGTGCTTTGAGGAACCTCTCCCTTTTTGTTGAGCTGATGTCTTCCTTCTTTGGAGTTACCCCATCAATCCCCCAGGAGGGGCTAGGGGTGAGAGTGTGGTTCGGAAGTTTAGCATTCGAATGTTTCCCGACTTGGATGCTATTATCCATTTTTACGGTGTTTTTAAGGAAATCTATCCAGCTTGTGAGGATCACATGTCTATGCTTCGAGTAGAGGTGTGAATGTGTAGAGTACAGGATTTCCAACTTGTTAGATATATGGTTTGGTTTTCAATTGTTAGGTATCGTGCAGCATGACTGGACTCTGTAACTGCTCTTCAGTCTGGTTTAGCTCTCCCACACGATGTTTATTTACTTAGTATTTTCTGTCCATGGAGATTAACATCGGATTCACATCTATTTGAGTTCAGCACTTAGTTTTTTAGCTTTTGAGTTGTAAAAGAAACCATATTTCTCTACATAGGATCTGTGTGAAATGGATGAGAGTTTCTCTTTTTCATGCTTCTGTTGCATTTATTTTTGACGGAAAGTTTGCTCATTTGTAGTGATTCATTGTTTTGTGATCTGTTTTTGTGGTCTTTGGTTCTCCGCGTGCTCTACCTTGATTTCCTTCTCTGCATTTACCAACTTTCAATGTGAAAACCACAGTGGATAATGATTTTATTTTTTGTTATGGAAATTGTCTGGAACATTGATTGTAGTGGGCCTGGAGGAGTCTAGGTTTAATGTTTGTTTCTTTTGTTCTTCAACATTTCAGGGCCATTTCGTCGATTCTCTTTAGTTGATACGTGACATGAGAATGGAGCTGACGAGCATTAAGGATGCATTTGACCGTGTTTCGAAGAAGCAGAAACTCTCCTATAGTAAAACACAGGAAGCGGTAGACAAACTGTCTCAAGAAATAGAGAAGGCATTGCGCATATTACAGGAAGCACCACCGGATGCTCCACTTGAACATAAATCTATAGTTGCTGAACTTAAGAAAAAGTTGCAGGAGATTGCTCCAATCAGTCAGTTGGAAGCCAGTCAGAAAGAACTAAACGTGGCTCTGAGCAAATTCCCTAAAATTCTCGAGAAGACCCTGAATCCAGACATATCAAAGGCTTGCAGAAACGTCGAGTTTGACACTCATATCGTCAACCAGATAATTGCAAGCTTCTTCTACAGACAGGGCATGTTTGAGATCGGTGATTGTTTCATCGCCGAGACGGGTGAGGCCGAATGTTCTGCCAGGCAATCTTTCATGGAAATGTATCAGATACTAGAAGCGATGAAGAAACGGGATCTCGGACCCGCACTTAACTGGGCTGCCTTGAACTCCGAGAAGCTAAAGCAAGCCCGATCTGACCTTGAGATGAAACTCCACAGCCTACACTTCCTAGAAATAGCACAAGACAAGAACTCGAACGAAGCTCTCAACTATGCAAGAAAGCATATAGCAACGTTTGCGGATAGCTGCCTTCCGGAGATCCAGAAGCTTATGTGTTCTCTCTTATGGAACAGAAAACTCGATAAATCGCCATACTCGGAGTTCCTCTCGCCGGCCCTATGGTACAACGCGGTAAAGGAGTTGACCCGACAATACTGCAACCTAATCGGCGAATCATATGAGAGCCCGTTGAGCGTAACGGTAGCAGCAGGTACCCAAGCTTTACCACCTCTTCTAAAATACAAGAGCTTGATGGTGAACAAGAAGCAGGATTGGCAGACAATGGAGCAACTTCCGATCCCGGTGGAACTGTCCGAGGAGTTTCAGTTCCACTCGGTTTTCGTCTGCCCGGTCTCGAAAGAACAATCGACAGAAGATAACCCGCCGATGATGATGACATGTGGGCATGTCCTGTGCAAGCAATCCATCAACAAGATGTCCAAGAATGGATCCAGATCCTTCAAATGCCCTTACTGCCCATCCGATATAGACGCCACCCAGTGTAGGCAATTGCACTTTTAGACTATCCCGGTAATCGTTTTCTATTCTCAAAAAAAAAAAAAAGAGAAAAAAAGTTGGTCGGGGATGATATCACAGTGTGTCCTCCCATCTCTGTCCGAATGTGTAATATGGTGTTCTGTCTTTCATGAACTGTGGCCGTGTTCTGTGTTTTATTTATGTACACGAAAGTGGTGGGAGGGACCGATGCTCAATGTTTATGTTGCTGTTTCGTCATACCATTCTCTGTAAATAGAAATTATTTCCGTTCCAGGAACCATCTATGTATACACACATGGTTTAATTATATGTATACTCGTGCTATATACACACACGTGTGTGTATATATAGTATGCATATGTATTCATATCTGTGTCGATGCTCCACTAAACTGCACTCAGGTTGTATGTAAATACTTTTGCCTTGAATATTCTGGACCTAAAGTTATTATATATACAACAAAAAGATCAAGAGAAAACTTTTCTTTAATCATACAAAATCTTAAAGAAAAAAAAAATCAAATCTTGGACAATCATATATGCGTGTGTGTGTGTATATATATGATCAAATCGTACGTAAATGAAAATAAAAAGTGTAAATTTAATTTTGGAATTTTCCACTTTTTGACCGACGGATTAGAGGGTTTTTTCGGTAAAATGAAAAAAGAGTATACAGAGTCAGTGGGGAACAACGTTGGACGGACAAAAGAGGAAAAGAACAAGAGAAGGTGAAGCAATGATTATGAGAGATTCAATGTACAAACTCAAATGAGTGAATGTGGCCAATAGCGCCGTAAACGTGCCTAAAGTTTTTTTTTTTTTAGCTAAATAAATGGATGGACCAAAAACTGTCTCTAGTATTTTATCAACCCTTTTTTTATATATTTATCGGATAAGATATTTCCGAGATTATGTGAAAATATATTCAAATCTATCGTTCCATAAAACTTTTATGTACCATTCAATTGCTTCGTACCAGATCATTTTGATGAAATATATAAAAAAAAACACACAAAAATAGAAACAGCAAACAGGGGGAAAAAATATTTAGAAGGCAAAACTAAAATCTGGCATTTTCGAAGCCGTGGAGGTCGCTGACTTTGTTCATATGCCGCCTCGTGATCGCCACTTTAGCCAACCTCTCGGCTGCTCTCCCAGCTGACGTCGGCGTAAGCGGCTCAGCCTTCTGAACCACCTCGTCCGTCCTCCTGCACGCCACGTGTCGTCTCAGACGCTTCAGATCTGCCAGCTCAGCATCCAAGACACGTAAGCACGCATCGCTGGACCCCACACCGTACTGCATTAGCAAAACCCTAGCTGACGTCAACATCCGCTGAGCCCCCGCGCAGTCGTTGCGCTCCATCAACCTCCGAGACTCGGCCGCGCCTCTTCTTCTCACGTGGACGTTTCTCAACCGTCCGATGATGGGGTTAGATGATCGAACGGCTAGAGGACGAGGAATGGAAAGCGCCGCATCTTCGGAATTCCTTATTTGCCGAGAAATGGGGTCTACGAAACGAGATCGTACGGTCATGGTTCTGTGGGACATACCGGAAGTCACCGGTGCTTTGATCTCCACCAGCACTTCTCTCTCTTCCCCGGCGTACATGTCACCGAGTCGGATCGACCCGGATCCGAGCCAAGCTGGTCGACCCGACAGTGAGTAAACGGACGTGATCTCTCCCCAACATGGCCCGGAAGCCAACCCGAGGTCTAGAGTGAGATCCTCTACGGACAGGCTCAATAAACCTTTAATACACCTGGCGAAAGCGTCCTCAGGAAGCGCGTGGTTGCACGCGCCCACGCCGCCGAGCGAAATCGTGTGCACCGGGACTTCTAAGCGCGTGGACGACACGAGAGAGGGGAGAGATTCTCTTGAGTTGGGCCTGGTAGGCCCAATGGCCCTCATCGTTGTGACGGCCCGTTATGACGAGGATGGACGAGGAGAGGTTTTTGTGCCGGCGATCTTCCATGACCTTTGCCGCCTTCTTCAGCGCGTCGTTCACGCTCATTCCTTCTCCGGCGGAGCCGCCGCAGAGCGCGTCCACGATCCGCCACGCCAATATCCGACCGCTCGCTGTCATCCGCCGCAGCGGCAACATCCTCTTCGAGCTCGACGAGAACGCGACGATTGACAAACGATCCGTCTCGCGCAGGGACGATATCACAATCCTCATCGCGCGCTTCAGCATCTCGATCTTGCCTCCGACCATGCTTTGGCCCACGTCGAGAACCGTCACCAAGTCCACCGGAGCCCTACGCGCGGGAGAGAGCGGCGGCGACCTCACCTTCATGACCACCGAGTGAGTCTCGTACCCCCTCGACACCGCCACGATCGCTGCCTCCGGCGACAGCTTAACTTCCACGTTTCCGAAGGCATGATCCGTCGGCAGCTTCGTCGTTAATGGCGACGGCGTGTTGCCGAAGAACCCTTTGAACTCGCCGTTGTCTTCCTCGTCGTCGTCGTCGTGCTCATCGGATTCAGGTATTGTGTTGAAGCCGGTGAGCGAGATGGGCGGGGAAATCAAGGGCTCGTCGTCGTTGTAGACCTTCAGCAGCTTGTTCTTGGTTCCTCGGGTACTGTACCCGGATTCGGATCCGGATTTCGAGCATTTTTCAGAACCCAATTCGCGGAGAGACGGAGCTCTCCGGGAGGCACCGCAGACAGGACAGTCGAAAACTAGCTTGGAGCTATCGGCGCGTGAGGCCACGCACGGGAAGTGAAACGCGTGCGAACACTCCGCGGTGAAAATCGCTGAACCTTGCCCTTCCTTCACGCTCTGCGAACAGATTCCACATCTGCTGCTGCTCTGCATCCAAACCCAAAAGAAGACCAACGAAAAACATAAAAGCGTCAGCTAAATTCGCCTATGGGTTTTATGTGTTTGTTCAAAGTTAAAATTCCATTCTTGCTGCATTTCTCAGTTCTTACTTTGCTGAAACCGAGTTTGGATTTGAGGAGGGAGAAGCTCGCCGGAGATTTCGGCGACGACGGGTTTGAAGAAGGGCTGAGAAGAGAGACATGGCTTCTGTTTCTGTTCCCCGTCGCCACCGGAGTTTCATCGCCGGTGGTTCTGCACTGCAGCATCGGCGTAGTGACCGGGGTATCGTCGCCGGTGGGAAGCAATGGAGACGGAGTGGCAACGGCCGTGGCTTCCCATGTCCGGCAGCTGAAGCTGGAGGCGGAATTGGGTCGGGGCGTAGACGGGTTGGAGGGTTTTGTCCGGCACCGGTGATTCTCCCGCGAACCAACTCCGCCGTCTCTATCTTCGTGTACGGAAGTGCAAAACGCTCTTCTCCAACTTCTAATCATTCTGCTTCTTCCTCCTCCTCGTGAGTAGCAACAGAGATACGCTCTATTCTTCTGAGAAACTGTGAGACAAATTATTCTATGAACTGGAAAACGATGAAGGGGGAACAGAGAAGAGAGAGAGAAGCAAGGGTGGTGGGGGTTGAATTTTAAAGGCGGATCCTTTCACTTTCCCGATCAAAACATTATAATTTGTCAATATTGCTTCACTGGGATTTCCACTTTTTTCCAAAAGAGAGCGGTCCAAAAATGAGAAATTGAAAACCAAATTTTTATTACGTATTCGCCAACAGCATAGAGCATTCCCTACATTACTAATCATTTCCAAACCCTAACATTGTCTATTACGAAGGAAATCTAAAAATAATACATCTCTATAAGTTAATTCCGATATTTTCCTTGATTGTTTTTTCCATATGCAGCAAATGCAAAAAATCTACGCCGTCTCAATATTTCTTATTTTATTTGTTACTGCCCCAACAAAAATTTCTTATTAAAAATCCCCATTTCATACATTTCTTTCCGTGTTATCATATTTTCATTCAAGTCCATTTTAACAATTTCTACGTCAGCTAGAGTTGTCACTTTGCATTTTCATATTCAATAACAATACTATTCCCTCCATTTCATTTTAGATGACATTTTAGAACAATTTTTTTTAAAAATAAATATCGTTTCCAGATTTTTTTCCAAATTTATCTATAATTAACAATATTTAAATTTCTATACATTAAATAAAGGTATTTTAGACTATAATTTTTTTAAAAAAATTGTGTTTAAACCTTACGCTTCATGTTACAGAAAGGGAAAGGGAATGGATTGTCAATCCCAACCCAATGATCTTCGGAGACTCTGGCCGCAGCCACGATTTATTGCGTAGTAGTCATGGGTCGGTCCATTTTTTTTGCCGCAGCGCATTTAAATTGATTAATGACCAATGTTTTTTTTTAAGAAAATGGCAGAGTCCAACCACAGGAGCGGTGATACACCTTCCTACTCTACGTAATGATTTGCAAATCAAATAGAACAGATAAACCATCCAAAAAATGATAAATAGAATCGAATCCATAACTTCTTAGAAAACTTTGGACTACTCAACCAATCCATTTGGCACGATTAGACATTAATGACCAATGCTACATTTCGCATTTCCAGTTTCTTGGTATTTCCCGGTTACAGCTTTTAACGTGCATTGCATGCATGCACGTTTACGTTTATGGGTGTAGATTAGGTTTGTCTAAGATCAGATATACCAAAAATGTTACACGTGAGACGAAAATGGTGGAATAAATAAGGTGGAACGTGGGTGTCACATTTGAAAAAATGTACATAGTAACATAATGTAAACCCTGTAAATGCGATTTATATACGCCCATTTGATATTGCGGTAAGAAAATAGTCGCGATATCTTCTGTTTAAAATATAAACAATGGTGGTTGAGAGATGATAAAGTCATATTCAAAATTTTTGGGTTCGATTCCACTCCACTAGTGAATAGAAATATAATATTTGGACCAAAATAATCTATATATAAATCAATCAAATCTATGGTGGATATAGTCGGATTGAAGATTCGGAACCATCCTGATTATAAAAAAAATTCTGATTATAAAAAAAAGTTGAACTGCTATATATATATATATATATATGTATATCATTAATTGTATAGTAATAAATAAGGTTTTATTTTGTTATAGTATTCATTGATTAATCATTCAACATAGTTTTTGCACATTCCCTATGTTGCAGACCACTTTGTTTTTTTGTAGACTAATAATTACATATATATACACACATGTAAAGACAAGAGGGTGAGGCAGTGAGAGAGTCCAAGATTCAAAAATCACAGTTCCAAGTTCCAATAACTTTTGCCTTGAAAACTATGGAATAACCTAATTTGGATTTTTTGAAAAATACAAATTACCGAAATTTATTTATGGTCCCCGTTTTAAAAATTGTTGCACATCAATTGAACTTGACCAGTGTAGATTAAAATAAAAACAAAGAGATCAGCCGCATCATAGTAAATAAATAACCATATAAAAACAATCGAACACTGAAAACGACATCGGTTTCATAGAAAAACAAAATAAATATATGCCTCGAGAAATGTCATCCATTGTTTCATTTCACTTACCATTATCCTAATTTTACTTGGCCATTTTTTTTCTCCCGAATGTTCATTTTCATTACATTACAGACAAACATACATGTATATATACATAATACATGCATTAATCGCAAGTAACTGCTGAATGTTGGGTGGATGAACGTGCAACGTGCCACGTGACTTGATACGGTCCGAGATTCTATATAATGACATATACATATGCGAACGATCGATTTTTCCAACTACGGAAACCCTCTCGATGGACCAGTGTCTTTAGAACGACTCGTTTGGTTTGACCTTGATGCAAATCAATCCAAAACTATACGTTTCTTTTCTAGAAATGTCGGTCCAAAGGATTAGTTTGGGTTCATTACCTAATTGTTGTTATTGTACGTCTGAAAAAACTTAATAACCAAATCATCAACTTTTGACTGTTCAACGGAATTTAAAATTCGTAATCTTTAATGCTAGGATCAAGCAAAATCTCCCACTAATTTATACCACATAAACAAAAAACATCGCATCCCGATGCATATTTAAAATTTTAATGTAAGGTTAGGAATAAATTAAACTCGAAACATTTGACGCTTGTCCCATTTTATAAAAAAACATATTATATATTTATTTAATAATCATTTTTCATGTCATATATTTGTCCACAACACAACGCTTATTTCAACGATTTTTTCATACATATTGATTCTATTTAATCGCAACAGTATAACTTAATTTATATATTTGTTCTTCTTATTTATTTATTTATTTTTGTTAATCCGAAAGTTCATCAGTCTTTCGATCCGACTATATCTCCCAGAAAACCGGAGATCTCATATGAATACCCCTCCCCACCATCAGGAATCGAACTGCTGACGTGAAGACACATTGACCCACACCTCAACCACTCGCCCACACTAGATTGGGTTCTTCTTATTTATTTTTAATAGACTGTTGGTATATATATATACGCTTAAAGAGAAAGATTGTGCAAGATGGATGCTCCAATGTATCGCGGTCCGTATATATGTATTATATTCATAATTATAATCAAAATAACTATATACATATATAGATAATAGATATAGTATGAAATATATATACGATAGTGCATTAAGATTGGAAAGTAAGCAAGACAACGGAAAACGTTTGAACAAAAGCAAGCACACACGTTAGAGAGAGAGAGCATGTCTTAGTTCCGAAATGCCGACACACGTAAAGACTCCACACGGACAAAACACTGTTTTGTAATAACTTCATAGATTATTACAAAGCAAATACCAAAGTAGACGAATTAGATAGAATGATTAATGAGGAAGTAGAGAGCGGTAACACAACATAAACTGGACATTGGAACTGTGCAATCAAAAGCTTGTCTGAGCCACTTGCATTCGGACTTTACCGATATGAATCAGATACCGTTCTTCGATTTCTCCGTCTCCCTCGGAGCTGCAATTAGACGTACAGAAAAAGGGTGTCGAGAGATCGGGAAAAAGGGCACAAGCTCTGATGTCTAGGAGAAGAATTGGGCATAGAAATGGCAAAATACCTAATCCAATGGCATCAGAGCCCTTCATGATCTTCAGCTTGCGGCATGTCTCCATAAACATCCTGCTAGAAGCGTCGCGAGAGGTATTTAGCGGGACAAGACTAAACGAATGGAGCAGAGTTCCAGCAAAATGATTCAACTTAAAGAACGGAACCGATGAAAAGTTTTCGTCTCACTATTTGGACAGCTTTGAAAGAATGAATCTAATAGATCAATGGGTTGGATTGGAAGCTGCAGAATTTCGAAAGAAAACATAAGCCGAGAATGGAGAGAAGCTTACTCCCACGGGACATCTCCAACAAGCATCCAGTCGCCATCTTTGTCCTCGTAAGTAAGCACATATTCAGATCTATGGAGAAGATCCTTCAACTTGATCTCGCTCAACCTTTCCCTCCCCGGAATTCCATGGGGTCTGTATTGTCCTGAGACCACAAACAACATGAAAAATAAACACACATTTTCGTAACCGATAAGCGATTGTTCCAATGCATAAATCTCACCAAGGGTGAAGCAGCTGAACATTTTCTCCAGTGCCGAGGACAGCTCTTTGTAAGAAGTGTATGTTTTCAAGTCAACCTTTCTCAGATAAGGAGCACCATCCATGCTGACCTTCACAAAAAGAGGACCAAGTTCAGGCTGCCCATCAACTTCATCGTTGTTCTTCGAAGTAGTGGCCAATGTGTTCTTTCTGAAGGATCTGATGGGAGGCCAACCGACAACCTGTGCCCTACAAAAATCGAGAATGATAACTGATTATGAAGGATTCAGCTTAAACCCTAAACCGGGTATACAGGATTTATAACAATGTAAACATATTTACACACTTGGCTGCAGGTGCATTGTTGTTAGTGTTAGAACCGCCAAGTTGGCATTCCCCAGATTTGGCATTGGACCGATCTTCTCGAACATTTTTCACGGCATCTTTCTTAGTGGCTGGCTGAATCCCAACAATCTTGGACGGATGCATCATCATGTTGATCCCAGGCTTTCCTTGTCTAGCAGACTGCGGAGTTTCAGGATTCGATTCTGCCCAATTGAACATCCAGTTTTTCTCAGGAAAGACGGAGCCTTTCACCTCCGAAAACTCATCCAAGGTGTCAGAGAACCCTCTTTTGTTACGAGAAACGACATTCTTATGCCCTGTGGCAGGGTCCTTTGAAGGGGCTAACGGGAAAAGGAGTTTCTCATCTGGTGTTCTCGGGCTCGGCAATCCAAAATCGGACTCTCCCTCGGAAGACCGGGATCCAGGAAGGCCAAGCCTAAGCTCTGTAGCCTTGACATTGAGATTGCCCTTCTCGTCATCTGGAACATTCGGAACTGTTGAACTGTCGACAGAAGAACAATCCGACAGGCCCAGATAGTTGCGTTCTTTCAAAGACAAGGCACTCTGAGGAATATGCCGGGGTATCGTCGCCGGTGGGAAG